TATAGAACATCATGAAACAGGGGCAGATGTTTTGTTCTACTTCATTTTCAATATCTCTAAAATGGCACTAGTAATAGTGTCTACTTCATTGGGGTTGCCAGTATTAAATTAGGCAACATATATAAAGCATTTAGAATCGTATCTGGCAGCTAGTAACTGCTCAATAAATATTAGATGTTATAACTGTCATCATTGTATTATGACAATTCTTTTGAAGACACAAAGTACTGTGAGCTATGACTAGTGAATACTTACCATTTTACAGGACAAGTTTATTAATAAATAGCTTAGAAAGTGTTGCCATCAGTTTAGTTGTGGTGTCTGACAACAAATTATAAGCTTTTGTATATCTTCAGAATAATTTATCTGTACCAACTTTTGATTTGAAAGTCAGCCTCTGAAAATTTAGTAATTTTTACATAGGCTCACAATTGCACACACAGGAGAGTTTCCTTTCAAGGCTAATAATATAGGCTACATCTACCCTACAAGCTTGTTGGGTTATGTCAAATTTTTATGGAATTTAGATATAATGCTTCAAGGGTAAGATTCAACACTGTATTAAAAAGATATGTTATAACTGACTCTGAGAGTGCTTTTTGAAATTTAATTTTTGTTTTATTACAAAGAAATGTTTCAGAATGATCTGTTTGTGGGAAGTTTGTTCACCTGCCTGGGTCTCAGTCTTCTCATCTACGACATAATAAAGCTCATCATTTAATTTGAAAGTCTATTTCAGGTTCTATGATTTATGACTTTCCTGAAAGAACAATGCCAATAATGTGTGCTCCATATATAAATATTTTTCTTCTCATTATAGCTCAGTGTCCACATGAATCATCAATTACAACTACCCACTGCCAACTGGCTTGAGGGTGTGCCAGAAAGTACATTCTATGATCATGGCATTTTGAGAAATTAATATGCTTTACTCAGTCATGATAAGAATAACTGAGCATTTATCTTTGGAGAACTACATTTCCTGTCTAAACACATCTTGGGCTATGACTACGAAGGTAGTATGATAATTATGTCTGCAAATATTTGGTTTATAGGCTTAGCTACTAGGATTTTCCCTTGTCTTAAAACTACTTGCATCATTTGTTCATTTAAAACATTCTCCAGCTGAAATCTGAACACAAATTAAATAATTATGATCTTCCCTTCCTAGCTTTATAAAGAAGCAGCTGGAAGTGTAGGCTAATTTAGTTTTTACTTTGTAATTTCTTTACTAACAGTGGTTTACCTTTTTTGGTCTAATTATCATGAATCAAAAAAATTCATCACGCAAATAAAATTTGACTAGAGAACACGTTGTTCTTCGTGTTTTTCATCTCAGGAGTTCGAGACCAGCCTGAGCAAGAGCGAGACCCCGTCTCTACTAAAAACAGAAAGAAATTAATTGGACAACTAAAAATATGTAGAAAATATTAGCCGGGCATGGTGGCGCATGCCTATAGTCCCAGATGCTCGGGAGGCTGAGGCAGGAGGATCACTTGAGCCCAGGAGTGTGAGGTTGCTGTGAGCTAGGCTGATGCCACGGCACTCACTCTAGCCCGGGCAACACAGTGAGACTCTGTCTCAAAAAAAAAAAAAAAATGACTGGTAAAGTGATAGAAATGGTTAGATAATCTGTGATCTTATCTTGTCATGTTATGGTGCAGAGATCACAACAGCAAATCATTGGGTACCTGGCCTATCACCCCACACTACAGTATTTTAAATCATAAGGAAAAGATCACTTGCATTTGAGGTGATGTGTTAATAGAAAAGATATCCCTGCCGTTCTTCCCTTTAAAAGAGAGAGAGAAAGCTGTCTTAATAGCACATTCTCCACATTTAGCACACTTTGAGAATTTGCGATGATGGAAAGGACTGGATGTTTACTAATATAATTTATAAAATTTTGTGTCCCCATAATACATGGGAGTTTAAGAGAGAGTTTCCAACTGTTACATAATTCTGCATAAATGAATCTGAAACACTATGCACATGAACACATTTTTAAACTTATGTCAACCACAGGAAATTTATAGAAAATGAAAATTCTCAAGACTATAACCCTCTGTCCTAAAATATCTGCATTCTTCTCACAGTCATACCCGTTAGAGAACTGTCATAGTACCCTATGTGGAATTTGTTTTTCTTAATCTAACATTTAATCAAAAGAATCTGCTTCTTAGTTGGCTAGAACATTCTTCACTTATTTTCTCCACCAAAAATCAATCTTGAACTTTTGAAAGAAGCTCAGACCTTTGCGCAGGAATAGTCACAGGAGACTCCCAAGAGAAAAAAATGCCCAAACTTTTCATATTAGCACTTAGTGTCAGAATGCATTTGGACACCCTACGTTGGCTCTCACAAATGCCACTCTCTCATCATAGGGCACATACAGAGCCTTCAAAGGGCATCACTGGAGGATGAGCAGGAGACCTTAAGAAAGCAGGTTCAAGAAAATAATCTTCTGTCCACTTTCTTAAAAATGCCCCTACACATCTCAATTTTATTCCTGAGCCACACAAAGCAACTGATGTGTTCTGATAATTTTCAACTCAGAATAGTCTTATCTTTCTTTTCAAAGCACTTTTTCAATGCCTGCAGAGGGTCTCAATTCTCAAAAACAAAGGAAAGGGGGAAATAAAACTGCAGAGTGAAGGCAAAAATATACTAGATAAAAATGAAATCACATGAGAGAAAGAGAGAAAAGGTTAAAAGGAGGATGAAAGTATGGATTATACATGGATTAAAATATTTTCCATCCTTCGGTATTTTTCCTTCTCTGTGACTTTGTCTTGAAGGCTTCCTCATCACATACTATAGCATTGTCCTAATGGTGTTCAGCGAATTACAGCATTAGCTCTCTGCCCTTGGTTCTGAGTGCATATTAAAATTCTGACTTGTGGTCAGCACCTGATTCCTTTTTAGGCCTGACCTAATTTCCTTCAGGCCCCAGACCTATATACTCATATTAATTTGTAAGGCTTGTCTAGTCTAAGAGTCTCCAGATGGGGAAATTTAGCTTATTCACACTCTCAAATTTAGTTATATGAGGAATGTTTTTTATTTTATTTCCAGCATGTCAACCCTGCTGCAGAGATACAATCTAGCTGTTGCTTTTCTTTCCACAAACACACAGAGGTATTTATTTGCCAATGAAAAAGGAGCCAACCACCTGAACCGCCTGTATATCACCCCGTTACTCCTACTCTTGGTCCTGGTGTCATGGTTCAATGTAATGTAAGGGAGGTTGTAAGCTGGAACTCAGCCCCACCAAGAACACTGGCATGATGCAGTGGCAGGAAGAGCACTGGGCTGGAGGCAACAGACCCCTCCTACTATCTTGGTTCCATCACTAACTCATTGGCAGATTTGCAATAACTTTGTTCACCTGCCTGGGTCTCAGTCTTCTCATCTACGACATAATAAAGCTCATCATTTAATTTGAAAGTCTATTTCAGGTTCTATGATTTATGACTTTCCTGAAAGAACAATGCCAATAATGTGTGCTCCATATATAAATATTTTTCTTCTCATTATAGCTCAGTGTCCACATGAATCATCAATTACAACTACCCACTGCCAACTGGCTTGAGGGTGTGCCAGAAGGTACATTCTATGATCATGGCATTTTGAGAAATTAATATGCTTTACTCAGTCATGATAAGAATAACTGAGCATTTATCTTTGGAGAACTACATTTCCTGTCTAAACACATCTTGGGCTATGACTACGAAGGTAGTATGATAATTATGTCTGCAAATATTTGGTTTATAGGCTTAGCTACTAGGATTTTCCCTTGTCTTAAAACTACTTGCATCATTTGTTCATTTAAAACATTCTCCAGCTGAAATCTGAACACAAATTAAATAATTATGATCTTCCCTTCCTAGCTTTATAAAGAAGCAGCTGGAAGTGTAGGCTAATTTAGTTTTTACTTTGTAATTTCTTTACTAACAGTGGTTTACCTTTTTTGGTCTAATTATCATGAATCAAAAAAATTCATCACGCAAATAAAATTTGACTAGAGAACACGTTGTTCTTCGTGTTTTTCATTAACATTAGACGTATAAAACATAGTCTTCATCCCTGACAATAAAATTCCTTTCTAATCACTGTTAACGGCCCAGAAATGATTTTTTCCTTTTCTTCTTTACATACCCACTATTTACAACTAGAGAGAGTTACAACATTTTGTATCAGACCAAATCAGAGTTAATCTTTAAAAGATGCTAGAGTGTCCCTTCTTTGTAAGATATCTTTATTTTTGGAAGGAAGAATTAGTACTTGTAGACTTGCTATATCAGAGGCTGGTTATGAAATGATTTGCCTGGCATTATCTTTACTTAATATTTTTATGTATTTTTATATCATATTTTAAGGG